TACCAAAAGCTCTAATGTCGGCAAAGTCCATCTTGAAACAAAAATTAAAGCTTACGATTTTGCACCTGTATAAGAAGATTTTGTTGAAAATGCTGTTGACAAGGTGCTCAAAATTATCAAAAATGATATTTTTCGTTTCGAAAAGAAAGGAATTTCTAAACATACTTCGGACCCTTAAATCCAGTGTTAAGTCTGAGATAAACTCAACTTGACTGGTGCCTTTTTATTGTAAAAATACAAAAACACTTGAACAATATAAATGATCCGATCTTGGCTTTTCTAGAAAATTTAAGATAAACTTGTCCATATTTTTCGTTTCCTCTTGCAAATTTCATAAGTGAATCTTTATAGGCTTGACTTTTCGGTCAAGTTGATGCTACTGCTCATGACTTATTGTGGATACTTGATTCAACACTATCCGATAGTAGAAATGCTTTGGCCAGCTGTTCAAAATCGCTTTGAAAACGCCAGCGACAAGGCAACTCTTGCAATGGACTACGCTTTGCGATATGCGGTTGTAGTACTCTCATGTAAGTTTGGATCTTCTTTGTGTTTGCCAAAAAAGAAGTAATATTCTTTGCAGTTGGACTTGCCTACGTTATTCCAAACTTCAAAGACATCGTTCCATTCATCGGAGTTACGACAGGAATGATGATAGCATTAGTATTTCCTCCACTGCTCGAAACAGTTGTATTTATCAAAAAGTGGAGAAGTGGCAATGTCATCGCACTGATATGTAATGTGGTTCTTAATTCAGTGTACATAATACTTGGCGTATTGTTTGTGATAGTAGGAATCTACTCAAATTATAATGTTTTGGTAAATCGGAACAAACCACAGTGAATGTTAACAATTTGTTATTATTTTGTGCGCATAAATTATTGATTTGTACATTTCCGGGCTATCCGATCGCTGCATGACTAGTAGCGCATTGCTCTGTGAGATCACGGTAGGAATATCAAAGGCTGTTTGAGAAAATTTCAAAAACAGTCTAAAGGGTTGGTAGCAGG